GTATGTCATGTCTTTGTGCAAATATGTATATAGACAATGGAATGTAGGAAACTATAAATCTTAATGACAGTTATTTCTGAGTGGCAGGAAAATGGGGGATTTTAGTGCTTTATTTACATTTTCCTAAGATTCTTTAATGAACATATATTATTTTTATAATAAAGCATTTATTTATATGCTTTCAATTATGAAAAAGTATCATTTACATAATAAGGGTGGTTAAAATTAAGTCCTTCTTATTTTTAAATATAGTTCATTATTATGCGTTGAATTAAAAAAAACAACAAGAGTAAACATGGGAGATTCTGGAACTTTTAACTCTGCCGTTAGCATGTCACAGAGATGAAAAAAAAAGTGGCATCTTCCCCCCAAAAATATGGAGCTGAGCAAGAGTAAAGAAAGATAAACTTGCCCTAGCTGGTTTGGCTCAGTGGATAGAGCATCGGCCTGTGGACCAAAGGGTCCTGGGTTCGATTTCGGTCAAGGGCACATATGTTGGTTGCAGGCTCCTCCCTGGCCCTGGTCAGGGTGTGTGTAGGAGACAGCCAATTGATGTGTCTCTCTCATATTGATGTTTTTCTCTGTCTTTCTCTCTCTTCCACTTTCCCTAAAAATCAATGGAAAAATATCCTCAGGTGAGGATTAACAAAAGAAAAGAAAAGAGAAGAGAAGAGAAGAGAAGAAAAGAAAAAAGAAAAGAAAAGAAAAGAAGAGGAAAGAAAAGAAAAGAAAAGAAAAGAAAAGAAAAGAAAAGAAAAGAAAAGAAGGAAAGAAAGATAAACTACTGGCAATGTTAAATTCTGTGTTTGAGAACTATCCTCCTCTAATGAAAAATCCTTTTCCTGTTAAATTATTACTTGGAGAGAGAGAGAGAGAGAGAGAGAGAGAGAGAGGGAGAGAGAGAGAATTATGAAGGTGGGAAGGGCGAACTGGGTTTGCTACTCTGCTGATCAACAACAAAATCACTCTGATTTGAACACAGCTATTCAAGGGCCAGGATGAAGTGCAGAGGGAGGGGGAAAAGGACTTTTCTTTCATTTTGAAATTCAGCATTAGGAAGACACAAGGGCAGGAAGTCGGATCTTTTTTCAATTCATTTGAAATGATAAGGTGAAGACAGCCTGGAAGGACTTTTAATTATATGATGAGAGGAAGGAAAGGAGGGAGAGAGAGAAAGGGACCAGGAGAAACCTGTTTTTATATGTTCAATGATGAAGAAGAAGATGGAAAACTAAAGGGAAAAATGACTTTCAAACAGATATCTTGAGAATGAAATACAAAGGTTCCAAGAAGCAAGTGCCAACATTTCATGCTGGAAAACAGGAAATGCAGCACGCTGATCAGCTCCCAGCCCTTCTCCCTATGGCAGCTGGAATGCCTGGCGATGCAGGAAGAGATAACTCTCTCTCCTCAGCCTGCACATGTGACCTCAGGTCATGGCAGGAGCCTCGGGCCCTGGGGAGGGGCTGGGAGTGGTGCTCAGGATCACAGAATAAAGCCTTCTTCTTCTGCTACCTTTCAGCCCCATTTCTTGGGGGCACTGACCTGAACAAGGTGTTGCCCCAACTTGGGGGCATCTGCTGAGAAGAGCATGGGAGAGCTTTGGAGTGAGTCCCCCTCACTGGCTGTAGTATCTTTACCCAATTCCTGGACCTCAGCTTCCTCATCTCTGAAATGGGATTAATTACATCTAGTTTTCAGAGCCGCGAGGATTGAGATATTTCAAATCCCAACCTGTGGTCAGGTATGCAGTAAGAGTTAAAAAATTGTTAATTCCTCCCACTCTAAAATGTGAGTAGCAAAACTATCACGAGGAGCAAGAACACTGGACATGTTACACCCACACCTGTCCTCATGAAGCTATGCCTATTGAAGTTCCCCCAAATCTACCCCGTGCAACAGTGGGGTCCCTCTCTTTCCAAAGTGAGATGGCTCTGGTGGTGGACACCTTGGGAGCCTTCCCCACAGACACTCTCTGCTTTGGTGGTGGATCTGCATGTTCTCGGAGGCAGTCATGAATAGGTTAAAGTGGAGGGGATTTCAAACATGTCTAATCCAATAAGAGGCTGGGTAAAACATGCGTTATCACTTAAAGAATAAATGTTTAAAAATAGAGCACAGATGTGAAATTTGAATAAAAAAAGAGAGAGAAAGAGAGAGACAGCGCGTGAGAGATCTTCTTGGCACTTGTACACCCTTCTCTGTTTTGGTCACCTTCAGCTAAGCCTGCTATTCCGATGTGCTCTGCCAACTGCTGGATGCTGTGGGGGCGCCTCAAATCACCGAAGCGAAGTTGGCAAGTCTCTCTGTAGCTTAAAAGTCAGACCCACCTCTCCTTTTTTTGTAGTTCTAAAAGCAGGACAGCACAATGGTAAAGTCGGTCTTTTCAAAATTTTCACTTAAAACGGTATGCTTGAAAAGCAAAGAGTAAGTTCTTCTAAAACTAGCACTATTTACACTAGGGTTCTTGAAAATTTAGGAGAAAGTATCACAGTTCCACAAAAGATAGGCTATGGATTGGCAATCACAAAATTCCTAAGAATACTTACTTCTGTATGAAGCATTCCCTGACCCCTGCAATGCAAAGATTTCTGAAAGTTGGTAACATTTCTGCAATCCCCAAATAACAGTCTTCTGTTTTGTGAACTGTCTCTTACTGGTAGGAGAAATGATAAAAACCCAAGGCTCAAGAGCAAAGCCAATACCTCCTTCTATAGCCAAGAGTGCCCAACACAGTCCCACCAAAGGTTCTCCATAAATGCTTAGGGAAGAGAACAACAGTAGGTTTTAAAACATGGCTTCATTCGATGGATAGACTCAGAAAGCAGTCCATCAGGGTCAGCCTGATGTTTTGGGAAGAAGCACTCCTAAAGGGATTTAAGAAACATGGAATTGCAGAGAAAGTACTCTGCCTCCGAGATCTTTGAGCATTGTTTTATGGAGCAACTGGCCAACTGAATGGATTCCCTGAGCGGCAGGGTTGAGGCAGGAGCAGCCTGGAGTAAGGAGTGTCTCCAAGCTAAGAGAGCAGACAAGTGTCCTGACCAATGACTCAGACACTCAGAGGACACTGTTTTCAGCAGCACAGAGCACCTTTACCTCCATGAAAAAACCCTGCCCCTGGCCTGCCCAGGAGAGATCTAAGTATTTCTGTTTGCAAAGGGGATTCTCTACAACATACTGTAAATATCCTTAGCATTGAAGGCAATGATAAATAGAGATGTGGCTAGATTTTACCAGTGGGACATGAAAAGCTTAACCCAAAGTGAGTCTGCAGTGAAAACCAATGCATTTGCATTTCAGCAATTCGATCTGGGCAAGTCTGCGATGCATTACAATGCTGGGATCAAATCAAGCTTTTCTGGAGCTCCTCCAAGGACAACACGAGGCTATGGGAACCCTACTGCATGAAGTTCCTCCACTGCTGTTTAATTGTGCTCACCCCCTATCAGCAAAATTCAAAGTCATCTGCATACAATGCAATGGGCCTGTCAATAGGAAGCACAACATAGTGTGGCCTCCAGTAGAGGGGGAAAGAAATGCCTGACCAACCATCCCACTGGGGAGCTTCCCACCTCCCCTGACAGGATGGTTCTATCTCTGCCAAGATCCAGCTTTGACTAGGATCCCACCCTTAACCACCAGCTCTCATGAGCACTTTCAGGGTCAGTGCTGCCTTCTTCTTTTCTAGGCCACACCTGTCTGGATAATTCTTGGAGCCAGTCCTATGACCTCAGGACAACATTGGGGGCGGGGGGGGGGAGGAGACTCTACCCAAATAGATTTCACTATGTTGACCTGAACATAGGATTATTTTTTTCCTCTGCAAACTCTGGTGAAAAACACAGAGAACCAGTGGCCTAGTCTCCTGGTCTTAACACTCTCCGGCTACCAACTGACCAGCATGTTTCCTGGTAGCCAAACGCAATGCCCAGAACTGGCAGGAAAGGAAAAAGAAAAGCAAGTATAATTTATCTCTGATCACAAAAGTATTCTAACCAGTTCTGAGAAATAAGCTGGTTCTAATTTGAACTAAACAACAGTGTCTGGCCCTCATTTTAAAAAGGCATTTTCATCAAGGATGTGCGTATCACTCCTTCCACACACAGGGGAGCATTTGGGAATAAGGCTTAGGGGGTAAGATTTAGTTTTAAGCTTTCTTCAAAAACCCTTTAGCAGCAGGAAAATGCAATGATTTCAGAATTAATTATTTTGATGTCAGTCCTTTCTTCAAGGGTGGAGGAAGAGCTGGAGGGATTGGATCCAAGACACAAAAGAAGGAAAGATGGTAATTTTTAATAATATTTTTAGAACTACTCTCCCTAGAGCAAGAACGCAAACAAACAAAAAACTTCACTCATGTTCAATTGAGACCCTCTCCAAAAACTGCAAAAATCTGGAAGCCAGATTTTTTTTTTTTAAGAAAAAGGTGGAATAAAAGCATCAGAGGTGTGTGCTTGTGAAGAAATGGGATTGATAAGAATTCAACAGATAGTATTATCTGTCTACAAGAAACTATGATTAATGCTTTATCTTTTTTTATGCAACACATAGCTGAAAGGTAACCTGTGTTGCTCTCTTACCTTTCTACTGTGCTCAGCCTACAACCAACATTGGCGTCAACATGTGAAGAGTATCATAAAGATTCTTTTGTTGTTAGGCATAGTTGGAATTTCTGAACTCATTTCATTTCACCTTCTCTGGCTCTCCTGACAGATGCTTAACTGAGTGCAGGTATTTCTAGGCAAACTGATTTATGAGATGCTCAGTTTTCAGGGATAAGATGGAAGGGCTCCCTTCATAATAAGTAATCTCTGCCACATCCGGAAACTCACTGATATATTAGTCAAGAAGAACCCCCCAAATTGGAGAGGATTTGAACTAGAATATGATCAAGAAATTAAGAGAAAAGGTTGAAAATGGTCATGATTGCAAATAATTCATATGAAAAAAGGCGTTTCTGTAAAGTGCCTTGCGACATGGCAAGAAAGGACACGCACCATTTTGTGGTCATCATTTGGCAAACAGGTCTCATCTCTCCTACGACTCCTATAGGTTGGTGATGGTGTATGCCTAGAATACTGGGATAAGAAGAATTATGCAGTTAACTCTTGTTAAAAGTCATACTAGCTCAATGATGTCTCTTTTTTAAAAAATAAGCTGCCCCGGAAATCCATTCATTCATTCATTCATTCATTCATACATTTCACAAGTAATTGCTGAATGCCCACTATATGCTGTGGATAAGTGGTCAGCAGAAAAAGTCATGAGTCCCCATAAAGCTCATAAACTAGCAGGGTGGATAATTACTACTTAAGTACTCACAAAAACAAATGCAAAACTGTTTCTATTACAGTGTAATTAAGTGATGTACATATGCTATAGGAGTGCCCCACTGGGGGTTTGACCCAATGGAGAAAGTCCCAGAAGGCTTCCCTGAAAAAGTGATGTTGAGCTGAGATGGAGAGGATGAGGGGGCACTGACTAGGTGAGAAAACAAAGGCAATGTGTGCCAGGCAGAGGGAATCACATGTGCCAAGCAGAGAGCACATGGGTCTGAATTTGTCTTTATCCCAACAGTGAGGCAAGCCAGGGAAGGTTTTTCAGACGTGAGGGCTACAGGGTGATGAGTATCATAACATTTATCTTTAGATAAGATCACGCTTCTGTGGAGTGAGGTCTGAGAGCCTCTGGCTTGTCCTGGAGGCTGGTTGCATTTCTCCAAGGCACAGCCACACCCTAAGCAGGCCAGGGCTTGGTGGTGGCCAGTACTGTCTGCCTGCCTGCCCCCTCCAGCACATGGCGTGCAGGATTGTGGAATCCAGCGGAGTGTTGTTGAGACTGCCAGAAAGTCCGGGAGGGTGTTTTGTCCTAGAGCCTCTTCCTACTCTATTTGAAAATCTCATCAGTGTGACAAGAAACTCTGGCTTTAGCTCTTTGTGGCTCCAAAGAAAGTGCCAGTGCTTATTATTATTATTATTGTTTTAATCTTCACCTGAGGATATGCCTTTTTTATTGATTTTTAGAGATATAGGAAGGGGAAAGAGAGAGAGAGAGGAACATGATACATCGATGTAAGAAACATTGATTGGCTGCCTTCTGCACGTACTCCAACCTGGGATCAAACCCACAACCTGGGTATGTCATCGATGTAAGAAACATTGATTGGCCGCCTTCTGCACGCACTCCAACCTGGGATCAAACCCACAACCTGGGTATGTGCCCTGACCAGGAATCAAACCGTGACATTTTGGTGTACAGGAGGACGTTCCAACCAACTGACCCACACCAGCCAGGGTGTGGCAATGCTTTTTAAAATGCAAGCTAAGCTCTGGGATTCCTTAGAGGCCAGAGCTGGGGGATTTGGAGAGTAGGCTCAGTCGGGCAGCCTTAAACAGGGCACTCTGAGTGGTACCCAAAAGAGACCCCCTTGTCCTAAGGCTGCATGGCTGTTGAATTCTGCTTCCTAACTGCAGAGATTATCTGCTCCAAAATATACCACGCTTAGGAGATTTTGCACTGGCTGTTCTCTCTGCCAGAACACTCTTCCCCTAGATCAGTGGTCAGCAAACTGCGCCCCTTGAGTGTGGCTCTTTCACAAAATACCACGTACGATTAAAACTTCGTAGCCACACTCAAGGGGCCAAACAGCCGCATGTGGCTCGCGAGCCACAGTTTGCCGACCACTGCCCTAGATAGCCACAGGGCTCACTCTCTCACCCTCTTCAAGTCTTTGCTCAAATGTCTCCTTCCCAAGGAGGCTCATCCTATCTACCCTATTTTACAGTGTCACCAGCCCATCGGTCCTATTCTGGAATGCCTGTTCTCCCTTATACTGGTCTATACTCCTCTTTTTCTATCATGTAATTTACTTGTTAATTATGTTCATGATCTATTGCTTTTCTCCCCACCCCCATTAAAAAGGAAACTCCATGAGAACGGGGACTTTATCTATTTTGTCACTGAGGTATTCCAAAAATGCCTAGCATTTTAACACAGAAAACACCCGTAATGAAGAGCTGCTGAGTTGAAGTCCAATGTGGCACTTGGTCTGGCCAAGCTACCCACCTCTGCTCATCCTCGTGCCCCCGGGCAGCTTGGGAGGCACAGGCTGATGCATTGGAAATAGGCTCCTCTGATGGCTTCTGTGAGGGGGCCAATCCGTGGCTCACAGTGTTGCCATGGGGAGGTAGTGTTTAGCCAGCTAAAAGCAAAGTATTGGCACTCCTACAGCAGTGGGGCACAACCCTGCACTGCTAGGTATGAGTGGTATGATGGTAGTTGAGTCAGCTGGTCTCTCAGAGCCTTTGTTTGAACAACTCAAAAAGGAGGGTGATGCTTTTCTCATTGGGGCAGGTAAAATATCTGTGGGGATGAATCCCCAGCACCTGGCACAGAGCCTGGCACATATAGCTATGCAATACATCAGTTGGTTGATTATGAGGAAAATGTGAGATAATGCTTGTAAACTTACGTACACATAAAGCACTTGACATAGAATCTGGCATGTGGGAATCATACATTCATTCACACAATAAATATTTATCAAATCCTACTATGTGCTTGGCAAAGTGCAATCACTATGGGGATTATTGAATGAGCTGCTCATGTCCAGTCACGGGGAATGCCATGGGCAGTGTAGAGACCTGCATGAGATGAAACAAGCTCACAAGGCAGTCTGAAGAGGGTGGCACCTCTCGTGACCCAGTCTGCCTCTGCATCCTTGCAGAACATCAGATGGATGAATACCCATATCCATGGCTTTCTCTCCGGTTAGCCTGGGTGCCTAAAGCAGCTCTGCTCACTCAAGCCAGTCACACAGGTGATGATAACTGAGGTTTGGGACCCCCCCCCCCCAGAGATGCCCTCTCTTATTGATGTCTATGTGGGCTGGATACACAAACCAAGTAAATTTAATAATAAGCTTGTTCAGTGCAGGCCGGAAGCTGAGGTCTAGAATTCCTGACCTGCCTGCACACTGCTCCCCAAGTGCCTGGATTTGAGGGTTGGGAGGACACCTGTATGCTCTTTCTCCCACAGTTCCATAGTATGTTCTCCTAACTGTGCTCAATGAGTGGTGACTCCCAGGCATGCAAAAAGCAGCGATAATGAGGTCAAAACCAAGCTGTATCTGAGGGTTGGTAGTGATAAAATCAAGTATTACTAACAGTAGTAATAGCAAGAACACCTCACATATAAGTAGCACCTATTATGTGCTAGTCATACACAAAGCACTTCTATATTCATTACATCTCACAACAATCCATTGCCTTAGATTATTAGCCCAGTTTACAGATGAGAAAACTGAATTTCAGGAGGTTTAGTATCTTGCCATGATGGCTCAGGTAACAAGAGCTAGAAGCAAGATTCACTCCAGATAGCACCTGCAAGATCCACTTATGGTTGTGTGGCAAAGGGTCTCTTCAAGTATCACAGTGTGCCCAGCTGTAAAGCCTGAGCAAGGCACCTGGCCTCTCTGGACCTCTGGTCCCTTCTCTGTAAGAGCATCAGTCCTTCAGTTGTGTTGGGAGTTCATGAGTGTGTGTACGTAAAGCTCTCAGATCCATACCTGGTGCATGGCGAGAGCCAAAAGTATTAGTAATTACTGATGTGATTAAAGTGCCTAAGTCTTAGAGCTCTGGGCAGAGCCCACTCTTGGTGAATGGCCAGAGAACATTCTTAAGTGGCATAGAGTAAACACTCAATAAAAAGAGGGTGCTTTGTACGCAAATGGATCATTCTTAGAATCATTACCATTTACAAGAATACATACACTGACGTGCTCTTCCTTGCTCTGTGGCAGGGAGGGTGTGAGGGGGTTTCAAACCTACATCACCGAGGAGCCATCCTCCTCCTTTGCTGACTCTTTTCCCACAACAGCCTTTCAGACCCGCCTCAGCCCAGGCAGGAGCCTAATTCTGCATGGCTGGGGTTTCCCAAATGTGCCCCACAACACCCCAAACCAAGCCTGTTGTGAAGAATGAAGGCTTTGTGTGGTTTCCCAGGAGCACACCGAAGGCCTACACTCAGCCCTTCCTGGAACCCTGCACTCAGAATCATGCATTTCCATGATACTGAGCAAGAAAAAAAGGATCCTTAAAAAATCCTTATTGGGAAAAGCACGGGGATATATGAGGGGCAAAGTATCTAAGAGACAGAAAGAAAAACCTCGTCCACTATGCCCGACAGGAGGCCTCTGGCAGCCTTGGCTCTGCAGTGATGCAGGACCATTTCAGAGGAGCTGGCCCTGTAGGGGGCTCACCAAGTCTGGAACCCTGGGCAAATGTGTAATAAATGAAATTACATTACAAATTGACACATAATACTATCATTTATGGTTCCAGACTTTATGGCTACCAAGTACTGGAAATCACCAGAAGAGGTGAAGGTCAAGATCGGATGTAGCTCTCACGCACCCCCACCCTCCATGGCGGGGGCAACTGTCTCCTTAGCCACTGACTGACCTGAGACCTTTGGATCATGTGTGCATCGTAGCTGGACCCGTGGTACTTGGCCGTAATATCTGGGCTGTAGCAAGCATCACAAGTGCATGGTATATTCGAGCTCAGGGGCTGTTTCCTAGGTCTATAAACCTGTGGGAGAAAGCTACAATGGTTAGGTGCAGGAGGGGAGGGTGCAGGGCGCACAGGGAAGGAACTAGGAGAAATTAAAGAAGGAAGCTCATCTTGACTTTCTGTGGCCAAGTGGGTGAAAACCACAGTGTAGAAGATGCACAGCCCCAAACAAGAGGTCAGATGGAAGCGGCCCCCGAGCCCCAGGGCCAGCACTAGCAAGGCATGCCGCTCTGTGGAATGACCCCCATGACTGGCAGTGCCTGGGACCCTCCCTCTGCAGGAGAAGGTGCCCAGGCATGGTGGTGGTCCCTCTCTTTCAGCAAGGCAGCCCCGTGAGAAATGGCCTCTGGTTCAGGGCCAAAGGATGCCTTTTCCTTCCTGAGGAGGAAGGCTTGGCCCAATTGTGAGGAGAAGGGACGTATGCCTTTGGGCTTCCCTTCCACTCATCTTGCACCTTGTGCTCAGCCCAGATCAGCCTAGCAGGCAGCGGGCCAGTCCTGGGGGCTGAAATCAATGTGGACACACTCCACGTGGTACCATGTGGCATTTAGAGAATTTCAGAGCCACATGGGGCCGGAGGTAAGATGTGGCAGCCACCTTGTGAGACCACAGAGCATTGAGCCATAATATTTGCTAGGTTTCATAATGAAGCTAGGATCTGAGTGAACATTTGAACCACTGCTTCCAAAAGCTCCTGAGTTATATAGAGAGGAGAAATAATGCCTGAAGATTTCAGGGATGACTTTGCAATATGCTTCAGGTACAATTATTTCCATTGAAGCCACTTCCAGAAGACCCTCCAGAAAGCAAATAACTTTTTTTTTTTGCACAAATTAGGATTTTGTCCCTCCTTCCTTTTCCCTCAGAAGAAGTACAGTGGCAGAGTGAGGAGGAAAATCAGGATAATGAGGTAAACAGGTGATAAAAAAAAATATTAGACTAAATAATGGTCCGGGAGGGCTCCAAGCATAGCCTGGCGGTGCCAGGGGCTGGGGGATGTCCCTCGGCCGAAAGGTCCAGGAGGAAACAGTTAAAGAGCCAAAGCTGGAAGTCTGGTGAGAAAGAAATCTAAAGAACTGGATGAGGGAAGTTATTTATAGGCCCAGAGAGTGAGCAAGACAGAAGATAACGGGTCCAACAGGAGAGAATGTGCCCAGAATTTAATTAGTAGTTCCTAGGATTTAGTCAGAAGTCACACAAAGTCCACTGGAAGGAAGAGAGCTGAGAGCTATTTCTGGGGAGATGATGCTAACACAAAAGAACGGAAAACAGCGCTGGTTGCAAACCACACAAGCCCAGGCACATGCAGCCCACACAGAAAAGCAGTAAAATGGTGCTCCAGTGACAACTCAGGTCATTTCACTCCTACCTGCTTTCAGCTGCTTGAGCCTGCAGGATGGACATGGGAAAATGAAGAGCTGCTAAACCCACAGAAAGCACCCAACGGCCCAGACCCAGCAAAACACACCTGACGGGCAGGAGGCCCCACCTGCTGCTTTAGCTGGTGCACCAGTCGGTCTTTCTCCCGCTTGAGGGCCATCACTTCTTCCTGCGTCTTCTTCTTTTTGGAGGCAGACAGTTCCAGCAGGGCGATGTTTGCATCTTTCTCACTGATTGCCGCAAGCAGAGCTTCCTGTCTGGTAAAATAAAGATTATTGTGATGATTTGCATAAAGTGGGGAAAAACACCATTTGGCATTTATAACTGAAATGAGCCACGGAGTATTGTCTCAATGTGAAGGAATTATGAATAATGCTTAAGACAAACTACCTCCTTGACTCTCAGAATAGACAAAGTTGTGTGGGTCAGAATCCCTGAGACCCACACACTGTGTCCTCTAAGAGAAGTGGCTTTCAATGGCTTCACAGCTATAGCTGCATATAAGAAATGGAGGGAGTCCATATGAACATTTGCTTTTAAAACACCTTCATCCATCTACCCATCTATCCATCAAGTTATTCATCCATATGCCTGTCCATCCTTCCTTCCATCCATATCTCCATCTACCTGTACATCTATCCATCCATCCATCCATCCATCCATTAACCAGGTAATGTTCTAAGACAACCGGACAAAATTGGGCAGCAACTTCAATATCAAGTATAACTTTTTTTTCCTGTAAGCTTTCCTTTTGAAGCCAGGCAGAGATAGTACTTACTAGGGTTCCCTTCCCATTTTCAATGCAATTAGTGAGGCTTGCTTGCCATTCCACCAAAAATCATTTCTTCCTCAGTATTCCATATCTCAATAATCACAGCACCATCCACCAAGTAGCCCAAAGCCCCAAACCTAAAGTTGTCCTTGATTCCTTTCCTTCCTTCTCTATCCAGAGCCAATCAACAACTTCAGTAGGTTTCACTCCAAAATACATTCCTTATCTAAACTAATCTGTTGCTAGGAAATGTTTCCCAACCACCAGCATCTATCCACATTGCTCATTCACTAGTCTCCCTGGTACAGACAGAGGCCAAGTAACCTTTAAAAACATTCGAAGTCCGGATTCCACCACCCTGTTGCATGAAAAATCCATTGCATCACTCATTAGATTTCAAATCCAGAGCCTTTACTGATGCCTGCAACTCGTTACACCAACTGGCCCTAACCACCTCTGTGAGGTCATCTTTTTCCATTTCTCCCTCCTCAATCATTAGGCTCCAGCACATTTTGTTCCTGAACTCTTTTCTAGTCCTTGAAAATGTTACACTTGTTCTCACCTCATAAGCTTTGTCTTGCCATTGCCTCTGGCTGGAATGGCCTCACCTTGCAGCTCCCTATCCTTCAGGTCTCAGCTCTAAGGTATCCACTTCAGACAAGCCATCTCCAACTGCTCTCCAACACACCCAAGGTGATTGCCATCTCCAGCTGCTCTCCTTGGCAGTGCCTCTCCACCTGGCACCTTGTGCCCAAGCCGCTGGCCAGCTACATTACCCCGGCATTTTTTGTTTCATTTCATACAACTCTTCACTATTAGAAAGGATCTTAGATATTGATGATTTTTCTCTACTTGACACTCCATGAAAGTGGAAGCTCCTTGGTCTTGGGCACTACTAGTTCTCCAGCTTCTGGCCGAGCACTGAGCACATAGCAGGTGACTAAAACGTTTGCTCAAGCAATAGAGAAGTTCACTTTATACTTCTCACAAATGTTGACAACACCATGTACAACTCTTCTCACGTAAAAATAATGACGATGAGTTGACTCCTGACTACTCTCTGGTCACTGCTTACTCAGAAAACTGTTAAAGTTGACTCCTCAAATTTTAACAGTCCAATTTTATTGCAACATCTATTGCAGATTTTAATCTGAAATTTCCTGGGACCATTATTAACTAGGAAATGGCTCGCCTGGTGTGTTTTATTTAGTCCTCCTTTCCACTGAGGGAAGTCTTGTCCCAGCCATTGTGTCACTTCAATCATTGTTTAGATAATTGAGAAGACCCCACAGTCCCAGGAAAGCCTCAATATTGGGTACTTTTTTTGTACACAAGTCCCAGGACAAAAACCTATTTTGCCTTTCTTTAATCCCCACCACCAGACCAGACCCTCCCCAGATGATTGGACAATGTAGTCATTATTTAGATCTCAGGTCCCCCGTCCCCTGTTCACTGCAGGGATTTGTATGGACTTTTCTGGGCCCTGCTAATGCCAGGCAGTAGAAGCTGCCGACTGAGGCCCAGTCAGACGTGTGAGCAGCAGAAATGTCAGGAGATATCTCCACTTTCCAGAAGAAAACCAGTGCAGGCTGGACTACGAATAGCAGCATTAATATCTAGCTTTATAGAGCCAGACTCTTTCTGGGTAACATCCTAAGACAACAGACATGCTTGTTGTTGATGGCCAATGCATATTTATACATAAGGTCGAGCTGAAGAGTCTCATGGACTTCAAATCTCTACACCAACTCAGCTACAACACACCGAAGGTGACTGCAATATTTTACCACACTCTGCCCCAAATTAAAATGTCCAAGTGAAAATTTTCAATGGAAAAAACCTTAAGAATCATTAAGAAAATTGGGAGTTGATAGCAAATTATGCTACATCCCTATGACTCACTCTTTACAGCTACATGCAGCCATGTAAAATGCTGATGGAAAATAATAAGATGTGAAAACATGTTTGTTGAGAGACAATTCTCCATGAGTCTCATATTTTTGCACACTCTTTATGAGCATAGGCACTATCTTCTTTTCTCACATTTTTTTCAAGGATGTTTGTATAATAAATAGCCTTGGAAGATCGAGGTAGTGTCTTTTTCAGGATCAAAGAATAGCTATGCTTACAGCCCTGTATAATAGTGTCTCTTTCCAGAGCAAAGGGCAAGCATGTTACTGCCCATTATAAAAGATTTGGGCACCCTAAGTTCAGGGTTGCCCTCCTTTAATGCAACCCACTGCAGGTGTAGCTATTCATCTGTCCCATCTGCCTTGCCTTCATGGAACTTGGGGAAAGGAGAATTGACATAAATGTGCTGATGTTGCTGTCTGCACCTTGAGCAATAAAGTCCTTTGTCTCTGACCTAAAAGTCTCTGGTTTGCTGCCTGCATCCATGACACTGAACCAGGCTGACTTGTTAAGCATACCATAGGGAAAATCTCAGATCCTTCACAGTTCTTGACATGCAGATGTCTATAGAATAAGATCCCAAAACATAAAATTCTATTCCTAGGAAAAACAAAAACAGGAAGAAAACGCTAACAGTCGTTATCTCATAGTGGTAAAATGAATAGGCTACTTTTAAATTTTTTTCTGCATGTACCTTTTTGCATTATTCTTCCCTTCCACAAAGTATCCTAAGAGTAAAGTCTAAAAAAATGTAAATGAAGCTTTTCAGTCACCAAATAAACTACAGGAACAGGCTCCAAATACGTGGCAGACGTGAAATTTGCTCATTTTTAAATCAAAGTATTTATGTTCTCTCTGCCCTCTGGCTCTGTATGCACAGGTGAGTGCCTGCACACATACTCGCATACACGTCTAGAACAGTCTACATCATTCCCACTAGGGCAGCTGCAATAATCTCCTAGGTAGGCTCCCTATGTTCACTTTTGTATTCCTAGTCCTATGGCCCCTTTTAACCCATCTTTCTCTTTCAGGTCAAAATTCAGAATTATATAATTTTAATAACAGTTAAAAGTCATCATTAACCTAAAGAATGAGCCTTCTAAACTCCTTTTCCCCTATAATTCTATAATTTAATATTTTCAGAATTTAACATATATTTCCCCTGTTATAATACGATCAAAAGTTCCAATACATTAATTTCTAATATCATTTTTCTTGTTGATCATATATAAACATATCAATTCCTAACTCTTTACAGATGTTATCACTAAATACAGCCCCAAATCTAGTTACATTTAAATCATTTTTATAAAAGTACATTTAAAAACACTCATCAATATTAGTATAAATATAAAATAATCAATTTTGTTCTTCATAATCTTTTCCTCAGTGTCCTTTTTGTTTTGTTTTATTTTGTCTGCTTTTGGCTAACAAACCTATTTATATGTAACAAATCTATTTATAATGATAGAACTCTGTATAAAATTAGTGTAAGAAGAGTTATATCTATTTTGAAGTCCTGATTTAAATATTGACCATTATTAATGAAAATTTACTCTAAAATACCTTGATTGAACTCTACTTTCAATAATTTTGTCTAATTAAATCAAAGAGTAATTGCCAGAAGGTAGTAATCCTCATTTAAATATTGACCGTTATTAATGAAAATTTACCCTAAAATACCTTGATTGAATTCTACTTTCAATAATTTTAGTCTAATTAAATCAAAGAGTAATTGCCAGAAGGTAGTAAAAGTATATAAAACTAGACAACGATGATCATTTCACACTTAGAATTTATGATGCTTTTAAGGCTATGCCTGACCTTAATAGGTAATGACCTATTTCTACAGGAATGCCAGGTAGAGCAAACTCTTAATTCTAGAGTGGCAGAGTCAATACATTAATTTTTTTAAGCAATAAGCTTTATAAAATGAATTTTAAATAATTCTTTATCAAGATGATACATTTTAACTAATAATTTACATCACTGAGAGCTAATTCTGCAGTTAGGACTTTCATTACCTCTGCTTTAAAAGTCAGGGTGTTTTGTTTTTTGTGTTTTTTTGTTTTGTTTTTTTTAGGTGAGGATTTCTGAACATAAGATTCTGCGTCAGATTCTACACCTTTACAATTCCCATAAGCCACTTTGCTGATACATACTTACAGCACCTAATAATGAAGACTTTACTGAAAAAAACACAGTGGTCCATTTTGAGAAAATGGCAAACACTGGAAAAAATTAAGAAACTTAAATCGAATGTTCCTGCTTTTTCTTTTTCCAACAGGGAATTTTGATCCAGCCTTTCCCATATTGGGAAAATAAAAGAGGTGCAGTATCAAAAGAATACCAGGGACAGGACACTTGGATATAAATTGGAAACACAAAGAAAAATCCTCATTCTTTTCCCCAGCAGGTGAATCACCTTCCAGATCCAATCACCTTCTCCATATGTGTACATCACTTCAGAAACTGTGACTGTCCCATCCATCTGAAGAAAGTGTCCATGAGCCTAAAATCGCTTTCAGCACTTAACCTGGCCTCTTGGCTTATTCACAGACAATGCAGAGAGAA